GGCTGCTGGCCGCTCACGCTGGCTGCTGGCTACACACGGTAGCCCATGGCAACCCACTGCCACAGGGTCTGCAGCCTACGCCATCGCCGGTGACCCATGACATATTCTTTTGATTCCCCTTCCCCTCCAATCATTTTTTAAAATGTAAAAACCATTCTTAGCTCCCTGGCCTTACCGAAAGAGATAGTGGGTTGAGCTTGGGTCAGGTTGTACCATCCCTGGGCACAGGGGCAGGAAATCCTGAAAGTCAACTGAATGGACACCCTGAATCCAAGTTTCTACTTATAAACTCTCTGACCTTGACCACGTAATTCAACCTGTTGGTGTGTCAGTTTCCATAAAGCGTCAGGGAGAGACGAGCCCCACCAGAGGTTAAAGAGTTAAATGAGTTAGTATAAGGAGGTGCTAAGAACAGTGACCACAGAGCCACAGACCTTGTTGATGCTATTTTGGGGGTTCCAGCACCTGCGGGGGGTGTGCAGTGGGGGCCATGGCTCCCTCTCGGAGGAAGTGGAAAAGGCTGCTGTATCAGTTTCTTATAGCTGCCATAACAAAGTAGCACAAACTGGGTGGTTTTAAACAACAGAAATTTGTTCTCTCACGGTTCCAGAGGCCAGAGTCCAAGGTCAAGGTGTGGGCAGGGTTGGCTCCTTCTGGAGGCTGGTAAGGGAGCATCTGTCCCAGTCTTCTCCCGGCTTCTGGCTGCATTGCACCCATATCTGCCTCTGTATCCGCGTTGCTTCTTCCCCCTGTGTGTCTTCTTATCATCTTTCCTCTGAATGTCTGTGTCCAAATTTTGTCTTTTAAGAAAGGACCCTAATCATATTGGATTAAAGTCCACCCTAAGACCTCATTGTAACTTGATGACACCTGTAGAGACCCAATTTCCGAATAAGGTCACATTTGCAGGTACCTGGGGTTAGGACTCCAACATATGTTTTTTTTGGGGGGGACACAGTTCAACCCATAACAGCTCCCCTGAGGAGGTAGGCTGGGCTGACCTTGGAGGCTGGGGTAATTTCAGACCCTGGTTGTGAGGTGGGATGGCAGGCAAGGTGAAGGGACCTGTAAGGACTGAGATCAGGTGGGAGAACAATGGGGAAGGGATTTTTTTTTTTGCGGGGAGGAGCGGGTCTTTGTACATTGGTGTGGTTTAGGGAGATCAGGGCACCCATCTTTCCTAATCTTTGTCATCTTTGAGCCTCATCTCGGCCTGGATGTCAGCTGGTGGGTGGGAACAGGGGAGGGGAGGAGGGCTCCCCATGGCTAGGGGCAGCCCTCACTGGCAGGGATTGTAAGCTGAGGCTTCGGGGCAGAGGGGTGAGTGGGGCACAGGGTCAGCAGTCCAGCTACGAGCAAGCCTGCTCTTTGCAGGTTGGCCCAGAGCTCCAGCTGCAGGTCTCAGCCTTACCCTGGCCAGCTGGGCACTGTGGACTGGGTGTCCTTCTCCTGGCCCTGCCCATGTGCTGGCTCATTTCATACCAAGGGCAGAAAATGTGAGCTTTAGCCCCAGACTAGAGACACTGTGGAAACCAAGAGATTTCACCCAAAAAACCAGATTTCTGTCTTTTCCTGAAAAAAATGAGGACATCTGGCCAGGGAGTGGTTAGAATTTGTGACCAGAAGGGCGCCGAGGCTGCTGGGCATTGGGGAGGGGGACGTGGGGGGGAGCATGGTCTCAATGCATTCGTGCCTCACTGTCCCCAGAAGACCCTATAGGCCTTAGCTTGGTATTTCTAATTACTGGCTCATTCTGCATCAGTTTTTCTATTTGTAAACTAGAGGGTGTGAGACCTCAACCTGGCCCTGCTAACTCTTGCAGGGTCAGTGTTTCATCTAGTTCTGTTTCTTTAGCTTGAAGCAGGGCGCCTACACCTACTAGGTGCTTCATATATGCTGATTGGACAAATGGATGTGGAACGAAAAGCTTGTTCTAGATTGGGGAGGTATAAACATACATGCACACGGAGACACTAGTGTGCACACATATGCATGCACACATGTGTATAATGCCATGCTTGCACACATAGACACAACATACACATGCACACATATGCACACATATGCACATCCACAGAGCTCAATTATGGACCTCAGTGGTTGGAGAGAGGGTCAGAGGAAGTGCTCCGCAGGGCCTGCAGGTGGAGTGGTCCCTCCCATCTGATGCTCTGGGGTAGATGTGGAGAGGCTTCCCTTGAACTGGTCTTGGTCCCAAGGGGGACCTGAACCTATGGGGTTCGGGGGGCTGAGGGAGAGGGACCTCCTAGCAGGACAACGGTGAGTATTGGTTCTGATTGGAACTGGAAAGGGGGCCTTTCAAGAAGGGCATGGCTTTTGGAGAGGGCTGACAAGGCTGATGGTGGGCTTTGTGTGGTGTGCTGGGAGGGCGCACAGATTCCAGACATCATGAGTACATACCACTTTCCTCAGGTATACGTGAAGATCTCAGTTCCCAAGGGCATCCGGTTTGTCGGGCATCCTGGCAAACGCCATCTGACCAAGAAAATGTGCATGGCCCCTGGGGAGACTGAGCCCACCTGGGTGGTTCTGTCCTTCAGTGACCTGGGGCTCAGCAACATCACAGGTGAGGGCCCTGTGCTTCTTCAGGCACCCATCCTCCAGGCCATCAAGGGGCCCAGGTGCTGACCAAGGCACAGGTGAGGGGTAGGTGGGGCAGCAGGTGAGGTCAGGACCATCTTGAGGGACAGGACAGCAGCTGGGAAAGCAGGCCAGAGAGAATGGTCAAGAGGTAGGGGAAGGCAACCTGGGGGGGTGGGGCCTGAGACCGTATCTGGGGAGAGCTGGACTCTTAAGGTGCCAAACCAGTAGAACACACACGTGTGCACACAGGCACACACAGATGTATACACACACAAATATGTAGGACATCCATGCATACTCACATGCATGTGTGCGCACACACACACAAATGCATATACATGCACAGACAAATGTACATATATGAACACGTGCACAAACACGCACATGCATACTCACATGCACATGAAAATGCATGCAAACATGCACATGCAACTTGCAGACACGTGCATATGCACATGCACACATATATCTGCACATACACACACCTGGTACAAGGGTGGGGGCAGGACAGCTCCCTGTTCTGAGAGCAGCACCAAGCACTCAAATCTCCGCAGCCAAAGCCCTAGCTTATGGAGAAACAAGCTGCTGCCGGGATGGGAAGTCCATCAAACACCCAGAGGAGAATTACACTGACAGGAGGGTCCCCGTCAGGAGGGACCACATCAGGCGCAGCGTGGTGGTTGAGGTAAGCCCATGCCCTCATCCAGGGCGCTTGGTCAGGGCCCAATTCCCTGAGGAATTCTCTGATTCTGTGAGGCAGGGGCCCAGCCTGAGTGAGTGGTCCCTCCCTGGGTCAACACTGGGGAAGCCCCCAGGGTCCCTCCAGGGCTTGGAGCAGGTGAGGGGGCTTCCTCACCACAGGACTGCAGCTTCCGGCCCCTCTCCATGGTTCAGAGCCGGATGTGGTGAAGTGGCCTGGGAGTCCATAGGGCTGCAGGCAAGCGTGGCTCCAACTTACCAGCTTCGTGATGTAAAAGAAGTGTTCAAAGTTGAAAGCCCCACGGGGGCTATGTTGTTCACACCAAATTCTGAGCAGCATAGTCGGTTCAATTCTGCGCACCTCTTTTAAGAGAACAAGCTGGCTGCCTTTTATTATTTGGAAAATGTCTGTGGAAGAGACAGGAGACAAGGGATGCGTGGGACAACCAGTGGAACAGAGACCTTGTCCTTGGCAGACCCGGGCATCCACTTCTCGATGCTCAAGGACATTCACTGGGGTCGTAGGTCCTGGCAGCCTTTGTATCATAGCATTTCTTACCCAGAGGGAGAAGCCAGTCTGGGAGCCGGGATGGATGGGGTGGCCAGAAGGGCAGGTGGGGGTGTGGGGAGCATGGCAAGCCCAGGAGCATGGCAAGCCTTTGACTGGAGCCTGGGGAAGGGAGCTTCAGTTTCCCACCCTGGACTTGGGAGGTGCGTAGCTCAGCCCTTTTCTGTGCACCTGTGACATTGGCATCACCCTGTGGGGTCCAGAGTTGGAGCTGCCGCTGTGGGAGGGCGACCCCCCTTTGCTGACTGCCCTCTAACACTCAGTTCTGCCTGTCTGTTTCAGCCCGAAGGAGCCCCCCGCACATATACCTACAGCGCTTTCTTCTGTCCCAACGGTGAGTCCCCGGGCCCACCCCACCACCGATAACAGCCCTAACTCCTGCACTGTTGCAGCTCTCTTGCTGCTACATGGACACTCACCCTTCCTGAGGGCAGAGAACCCAGCAGCAGAGAATTGAGATGTCCTTCCTGGAGACAGCCATATGCCAGCGTGAGGGCTGGGCATCAGCCACGCAGGAAGTGAGTGCACACTTCCTGTAGACTGTAGGCGCCAGTGAGAAAAGAGACTGCAGCCAGGAGTACGGCTGTCCTCGGGGCCCTGGGGTGAGGAGCCCAGGGTCCAGGGAAGGGAAGTCTTAGAGTGACATCAGGAGAAGAAGGGAGACCCAGCACCTGGTGCAGCCCAGGAGGATATGGGAAATTAAGGTGGTTTCCAGAAGGTGTGGGATCTGGGGTACACCTCAATCCCCTGAAATTGAGTGTGTGGCCGTTCACACCTCTGCCTTGGTGAGGTTAGGGACATGCTGGGCAGAACGGAACAGGAGCCTGGGTTGCCTGTGGGAGCATCTGTCCTTTCCCCATCCAGCTGCTGCCCAAGGAGCCGTCCAGCTTGGACCTCGGGCTGGGCTGGGCACCCAGCAGTCACCTGGGGGGCTTTGCAGGAGGCAGAGCTGAGAATCTGGAGTCCCTGGGTCACATCCACCCTCAGGTGAACCACCTCCCCATTGCCAAGGCATTCGGTATGAATGTATATTCTGCATACTAACCCTTAATCAGAAATTGCTTTACAAAGATATTTCTCCCAGTCTGTGTCTTTTCATTCTCTTAATAGTGTCTTTCAAAGAGCCGAAGTTTTTCATTTTGATAATGTCCAATTTGTCGATTTTTCCTTTTATGGATTATTTTTTGTTGTTGTAGTTAAGAAATCTTTGCCAAATCCTGTTTTTCTCCCCAAAGTTTTACACTTTTAGGTTTTACATTTATAAAATGGCTATGACCCATTTGGGGTTAATTTTTGGAGCCCATCCAAGGCATGGATCAAAGTTCATTTTTCTGCATCTGATTAGCCAGCTGTTCCAGCACCATTTCTTGAAACGGTTTTCTTTTCTCTTTGCAATTGCCTTTGCAGCTATGTTGAAAGTCAATTGTTCATACATCTGTGGGTCCATTTCTACACTCCCTGTTCTGTTCCATTGACCATTTGTCTATGTTGACACCAAAACTATACTGTTATGATTTCTATAACTTTAGAGTAGGTCTCAGTGCCAGATCGGGGTGAATCCTCCAACTTGGTTCTTTTTTATCAAAGTTGTTTTGCCTCTTCTAGGTCCTTTGCGTTTCCATATAAATTCTGGAATTAGCTTTGTAATTTCTCCGAAGACCCTGCTGGAATTTTGATTGGGGTTGTATGGCATTTGTAGGTTGATTTGGGGGATAATTAACATCTTGGCAATATTGTCTCCTGACCCATGACCATGGTCTAGCTCTCCACTGATTGGGTCTTCTTTAGTTTCAGCAACATTTTGCAGTTTGCAGCGTAAGGGTCTTATGTAGGATTTATCTTTTGTAGGATTTATCCCTGAGAGCATTTAATCTTTGCTGTGCTCTTGGCAAAGCTGCTGTGAAGCCTGCAGCCATGCCACCTCCAGCTCCCTGCTGAGCCACAGTGAGACTGGCCCCTTGCAGTCCCGATTCTCTAGGTGTCCCCACAATGTCCCCTCTCCTTCCCTCCGTCTAGAGAGAGTCCATATCTCCACACCCAACAAGTACGAGTTCCAGTATGTGCCGCGGCCACAGCACCTCACTTGTTTTGACATGGCTGTGCGAGCCCACAACGATGCCCGCGTGGCCTTGTCCCCTGGGCCCCAGGACACGGCGGGCATGATCGAGATTGTCCTGGGGGGACATCAGAACACCAGGTCCTGGATCTCTACCAGCAAGATGGGCGAGCCCGTGGCTAGCACACACACAGCCAAGATCCTCTCCTGGGATGAGTTCAGAACATTCTGGATCAGCTGGCATGGCAGGCGCATCCAGGCATGGCTGGGCTGGCTGGGCCGGGCGTGGGAACCTCATGGGCCTCTGACATTTGCTGCTTCCTACTCTGTATCTGGTTCTGATGGGGGATGGGGAGGAGGGAGTGTACACACAGGGCACCACCTCAAGTTGCTCACAGTTTTCAAAAAAATAAAATGTGGTGAGAGCTATGGCAGAGGAACCACTCAGGAATCTGGGAGCTACGGGGGGTGGGTGGTCAGGGAGAAAGAAAAAGGATATGAGCAGGTTTTGGGGGCTGGGAACACTTTCTGAGCCAAGCAGAGGGGACATAGAAAAGGAGCAGCTAATACAACTTCCTAGCGGAGGGACAGAGCCAAACTGGGTTTTGAAGTATGAATAGGAGTTCACCAGGCAAACCAGAGCAGAGGATGTTCCAGGAAGAGGGAACAGCATGTGCAAAGGTCTAGAGGTTTCAAGGAGCCTGGTCACTTTGGAGCCTGTAGATATGCTTATGTCTCTGTTGGCCATTTAATGGATGGGGTGACCTCTAGTTTCCCTGACCATAGCCCTGTAGCCAGTGTCACTGCTGTCTGAGTACCACTGCATGCTTCCTTTCAGCGCCCAGCAGCCTTGACTTCTTTTTTCCAGGTTGGCTATGGTCCAAAGCCATCCAACAAGTCTGTCATTGTGGCCTGGACCCTCCCCAGGGCACCAGAAGTCCAGTTCATTGGCTTCTCCACTGGTTGGGGCTCCATGGGCGAGTTCCGTATCTGGAGGAAGATGGAAGTAGACGAGAGCTACAGTGAAGCCTTCACCCTGGGGGTTCCACACAGCGCCATCCCCGGGTCTGAGCGGGCGGCCGCTTCCATCATAGGTGTGTCTGCCCCGTAGCCTGGCTTGGGGAGCATGGGGACAAGAGCCCAGGGGGCAAGGTGGCCACTCCAGGCTGAGTCTCACCCTGGGCTTTGCTGGGACCTGTGCCCCTGGGTCCTCAGCTACGCACCCCCTCACCTGACAAGCAGTTTCTAGTGTTTTCTCTATGTTGGGGTCTGGAGGCAGACCCGGAGATGACCCCAGCCTTGCCCTTGAGGGGCTCCTAGTCTGGCCAAGAAGATAGGTCCACGCCTACTCAGTCCAAATCCTGTGTTGGGTAACCCCAAGGGGCAGGTGATAAATTATGGGGACAGTGGGTCTGGGGTGATGTGAAGGAAGATGGAAAGGCCAAGTGAAGTCATCCAGGTACAGGGTGGGGAACAGGAGTCCTGGGGGTCCCGGTGAGAGGGACAGGTGTCCCGAATATTTACTGAGTATGGGTAAGAGGTTGTGACCAGGGGTCTCAAAGGGTCAGATGGGCTGAGTGGACGGGGGTGCAGCCCAGTTTCAAAGGGCAGCACGATCATTCAGAGGTGGGGTTGGCCGGTGTTAGGCCACAGGCAGGCTCCCACTTCTGTGGAAAGCTGTCCCTAGGACAGCTAGGGTACTGAGTGAGGCCGGCCCCCAGCCCAGCCCTCTTTTCCTTCACACCAGGAGACGTCATGGGCCCAACCCTGAATCACCTTAGCCACCTCCTGCGGCTGCCCTTTGGCTGTGGGGAGCAAAACATGATCCACTTTGCGCCCAACGTCTTTGTCCTGAAGTATCTGCAGAAAACCCAGCAGCTCAGCCCCGAGGTGGAGAGGAAGACCACTGATTACCTGGTACAAGGTACTGGAGCAACTGCCTGGGAGGAGGGTGTGGGGAGGAAGGTGGAGGTGACCGTGCTGGGGGCAGCCCACACAGCAGGCGCAGCCCAGCGGATAAGGAGGAGGAGAAGGAAGTGGATGAACGAGGCCACTCTGGGTGCTCTGACCTGGTCACTGTCAGCAGGAACCTGGTGTCCATGCCTATTAGGACAAGACCCTGAATGCTGGTGATCAGCCACGGGGAAACAGCATCTTTTAAAAATGTAGATTTTTTTTTTAACAATAAGGACAATACAATAACATTATAAAAAACACTTAGAGAAGAAACTACTCCCCATACTCTCCCTATAGGAGTTGGCTCTGAGTTTACTCTCCTGCCCTCAGCAGCCCTAAACCACAGCATCCATGGCGTGTCCCCGCCCCACGCCGTGTGTGTGTGTGTGTGTGTAAGATTTGCCCTTGGGGCTGAGGGAAGCTGTAGTCCTTTTGCCCCCGTTAGTGTGTGGGGAGGAATCACAGTGTGTGTCTGTTGATGGGCACTGGGGCAGTTTCCAGCTCAGGACTTTTAAAATGGTACTGCCGTGAATCGTCTCATTTGTGGGCTAGGTGAAGACATGTCTGAATATCGCTGGAATGGAGTTGCTGGGTCTCAGGATCTGTTCAGTTTGTAATCACTTTCGAGGCTCACATGGTCCATGGCCCCCTGCTGCCCTCACAATAAGAACAAACACCCAGCTTGGAGGCCCCAGTGGCCTCCCTCCTGTCGCACCTTGCTCCCCTGCTGCGTCCACTCTGGCGCCTTCTAGTCTCCGAGCACACCGAGCGCTGGCTCCAGCAGGTAGAACAGTCCTCACCCCTGGGGACAGAAGGTGTAGCCTTGAGATGGTGCATTTCACTGACCACCGGGCATGACTGAGGGCTGGTGTGTGACCAGGAGTCACAGAAGGGCGATGTCAGGAAAACAGAGAAATAAAGCAGAGGTTTTAGCCACCCCTGATGTGGCATGGGGCAGATTTTGAGGACTCCAGATGTAGTGTGGGGAAGTTTCAGCGACCCCAGATGTAACGTAGGACAGTTTCAAGGAACCAAGGTGTGGATGTGGCATCATTTGGGGGTCCCAGGGTAGGACATTGGCTGGCCTGGGCTAGACCATTCAGTAGGGTGCTGTGCCCTTGGTTCACCCCACAGGCTACCAGCGGCAGCTGACCTACAAACACCAGGATGGCTCCTACAGTGCTTTCGGGGAGCGGGATGCATCAGGAAGCATGTGGTGAGTCCCCACTCCTGGCACTATCACAGAGGCTCTCCCCAGCCCCTGCAGCCACAGCCTCACATCCAGCACAGCAAGGCCAGGAGTCTCGGGGTGTGATCCCCAGCGTGACAAGGAGCCTGCCTAGGAAATGGAGACAGCGTTATCCCAGCCCCAGGGTTCAGAGGGGTGAAAGCAGGCAGCTGTGCCTGGCCCTGGATGGGGTGGGAGTGGTGGTGACAGTTACTGTTACTCTTTCTGCTCTTGGTGTTGTTGCCGTATCACCCAGAAACTCAGCCTCTGCTCTCTGGCCCCCCGGGAGCGTGTCCTGGGCACTCTGGGTCTCCTCAGAGCCCACTGCACTTGGGGATGGGGGTAACCCCCAGCAGGAAGGCCTGAGCCGGGGTATGTGGGAGAAGTGGTCTGGGGTCTGATCTCCCTTACAAGCGGCTCCCTCTGACTTTTGGGGTGACTATGGCAGGGAGGGCCCGGTGGAGGGCTGGCACACCTGTCTTGTTCCCTGGGATCCTCGGACCACGGCAGTTTGTGGCATCATCATGGATTTGTCTCGTCCACTTTGGGGCTTACAGAGACTGTGGGGCAGCCCCAATTGTCCCCAGGGGCCTCCCTCTCCCAAAGTGCCAACCTGCAGCAGCTGTGGGCATGGAGACTGCTTTGTCCTTAAGTCAACAGTGTCCACTACACAGCCACAGTGCCAAGGGCCATGGGAGTGGGGACATGCCTGGCTGAGCCCTGAGGTATGCAGCGTTGCTCCCTTGGTTCCAGAGGGGCCCAGGCTTGGTGACCTGCCCAGCCTCCTGTCCCCCAGCAGCCCATCAACTGTCCCAATTCTGGTCCTAGGGCCCTGCCTTGCTGACAGCCCTTGATGCAAGGCTGTAGTCATGCCCTGGCAAGCAGAGTTCCCCGCCCGACCTGGGGATGGCCAACGCCACTGACTCACTCTCTGAAAGCTGGCCGAGCCTAAGCAACCCCCAGAGGCCTCTGCTGGTCAGAAATAGTGAGATATGACTCATTATATACCCTCCCACGATGGACACACACACACACACACAGCTCAAGCAAGACTAATTCCACCATGGTGGTAGAGATGTGACACCCAGAAGCTTCTCCCTCCACCTGTCCCCATGAGAGGTCCCTGTAGGAGGAGGCTGCCGGAAGCACAGGCAGTGGCAGCAGCGTCCACCCTGGAGCTGGAAAAAGCCGGGCTCTGTCTAGTGAGCTGTGTGGCCTTAAACTAGATGCTCAACCTCTCTGAGCCTGTTTCCTCACCACACATCCCTCTCAGGACTGGGATCCAAAAAGCAATGGCGATAAGGGCATGGGTGTGCTCAGGGCAGTGCTGCGTACCCACCATGATGGTTAGTGCCTCTCCCTGAATAACTTGGCTGAGAGGATCCAGCACTGAAGCCTTAAAACTCAGGATCTGTTAGAGATGGGTTCCCGTGCATCCAGTGTTCATTCATTCATTCACTGATTCATTTGTTCATTCAGTGAGTGCTGCTATGTGCCAGGCCCCGTTCTTAGTCTTACAATTGGTGGACCAATATTGCTATTAATACATTATTAACTACAGTCCATAGTTTACATTCAGGCTCACTCTTGCTGTTGTACATTCTGTGGATTTGGACAAATGTATAACGTTACATATTTACTATTGCAGCGTTGTACACAGTACCTCCACTGCCCTAAAAATCCCCTGTGCTCTGCCCATTGATCCCTCCTTCCCCTTCCACTCCTGGTAACCACTGATCTTTTGACTGTCTCCATAGTTTTGCCTTTTCCAGGATGTCATAGAGTTGGAATCAAACCGTCTGTGCCCTTTCCAGACTGGCTTCTTCCACTTAGTAATATTTTGGGTTCCTCCGTGCCATAGTGTGGCTTGATAGCTCATTTCTCTATGTTCCATTATAGAGATGTACCAGTTTGTTCATATCCCTGTTTGTGTTTCAAAAATGAGACAGTTAAGAGAACCATGTAGCAGAATGTGGGAATTCCACAGTTCCCAGCACACGGGCAGCTGAGGTCTTCTATCTTTGCCCCCATGTCCCAGCTGCTCACACAGGGTTTGTAATTTCCCTCTGGCTGCTGCATACAGAGCAAGCTATGGGGCAGGGGCCGGCTGGGGAGACGGGAGCCAGGGGGTGTCCTAAAGCCAAAAATGGACAACAGTGACACAGAGGTAGGGCCTTGGGGGTCCAGTGCGGGGGGTCCTGAGGGCCCAGAGGCACCTATCCCAGAGTGAAGCTGTCCAGGAGGTTTCCTCTGGGGAGAGACCTCTGGGCTGAGTGTTCAGAGACAAGTGGGATCTCATCCTGTGGAGAAGGGAGGGGAAATATGAGTCCAGGGCTTGGATGGAGTAACTGAAGCTAGCGGGTTGGTGGGAATTTTTCTGCTGCAAGCCACAGAAAACTGGCTGAAAAACAATTCTGAATATCATCAGTTCACACTGCAGCACTGGAGAGGCTTCAGGGTTGGCCAGTCTGGCAGCCCCACAATGTATTGGGGCCCCTGGTTTTTTTTTTTCTTCAGTCCCTGTGGACTCCTTCAGTATGGTGGCTTATCCCCTTGTGGTGGCAAAATGGCTGCAGCTGCTCCCATCATCACCTCATATACCCATTTCAAAGCCATAAGCAGGCCTGGGGACTGGAACGCCCATAACTGTGGCTGGCTAGGGCCACAGAGGGGTCCAAGTGTCCAAGGTACCACACTGCCAGTTCCCAAGCGAGACCTGGGGTCTCTCGGCAAGACTGGGCATCTCTTGGGGAAAGGCTGTGGAGAGGCAACAAGGAAGGTCTCCTGCACCTGGCAGGGGAAGGTGAGACTGCGTCAGCTCACAGAAAGGCCTTGAGTGCCAAGCAAGGAGCAGACCTGGGTGCTGGTGGGGTGGGAGGGTCCACACAGGGAGACTGGGCTCCATCATCAGCCCAGCTGGTGCCCACACACTTCCATCAAATGCTCTCAACAGCCCTGTGAGGAAGACTGGAGCCTCCCATCTTATAGACGAGGAAGTGGAGGCTCGGGGTAATGTGGGGAGCATGCTGCAATCCCTCGGAGGGTACATGGGAGGTGACCCTGTTTTGCGAACCCCCAGCCCCTCCTGATCCTGTTTCAGGCTCACGGCTTTTGTCCTGAAGTCCTTTGCCCAGGCTCGCAGCTTCATCTTCATCGACCCGCGGGAGCTGGCAGCCACCAAGGGCTGGATCATCAGGCAGCAGCGGGCAGACGGCTCCTTCCCGGCCGTGGGCAGGATTCTGAACAAGGACATCCAGGTGAACGGCCTCCTGGGCCTCCTTCCCGTGCCTCGGCCCTTCCCTGAGGCCCGTGCAGTGGGGGCTGTCCCCTCTGGCTCGGGATGAAGGCTGAGAGTCCTCTTGCAGGGTGGGGTCCACGGCACAGTCCCACTGACGGCCTACGTGGTGGTTGCGCTCCTGGAGCTTGGCGCAGCCTCAGAGGTGAGCACAGGGGCCTGGGAGATCCGGCAGGTGGAATGAGCAGGTGGTTTCTCCTACAGGCCTTGTGTGGGCCAGGCCTCGGGTCTGGTTCACTTGGCGGGAGGTGCATGGTCCATCTCGACACCACACCTCTGTGACAGTTTCCATGCTTTGTCCAGGTCTAAAGATGGAAAGCTTTGGGACAGCATTCTTTCTGTGCTCTTTAACACTAAAGCAGAGTCATCTTAACTTCTTGGCTCCACTGGTGCCCACAGGAACACCATTTATTAATAGCTCATCTGCTAAACTCATTAACGTTTCTAATCGCTCGTTTTTCCATTTAACCATTATTATTGGGCAGCTTCCCTGAACCTAGCCCATCACTGGACAATGGAAGCATTTTCTGTCCTCTAGCAGCTTGCATTGGGGTGAGGGTGAGCATGACCAAGGTTGGTGGGCTTCCCGAAGGAGGCAACAATTGAGGCAAGGCCTAAAGGATGAAGAGGGTGGTGGGTCTTAGAAGCCAGCTTGGTGATGAAATAGGGTAGAGCGGGGTGGCCAGGACTCTGCCTGTTTTCCCCTGCGCCTCCTTGGGTTGATCTGCTATGCTCAGACTTCATTTGGAAAAAGTTGGAGCCAACATAAAAAAAAGGGGGTGGGGTTATGAAAGCGGGGGGCTGCAGGCAATGGGAGCCCCAGAAGGATGCAAAGTGAGGGGCAGTGAGCCGTCCAGCATTCTCCCCAGGCGCACTGCGGAACCTGTGGGTGGGTGGTGGGTGGGCTGGGGGCAGAGCGGCCTCCCAGGCCTCCACTTCCCACCCCACCCCGCAGGAGGAGAGGGGTGCCATTGCCAGAGCGCAGCACTTCCTGGAGTCCAACGTGGCCCTGGCCTTGGACCCCTACATCAGTGCCCTGATCGCCTACACGCTGACCCTGCTCCGCAGCCCGGCATCTCCCGTGGCCCTGCGGAAGCTCCGCAGCCTGGCCATCATGCAGGGTAGGTATCCCCTGCCTGCCACCCCAGCAGCCACAGTGTGGGACCCACCCACCCTGAGCCCCAGGAAATAGTTAACGAACACATACATGGAGTAAGGAGGCATCTTTTGCTCACTTTATTTTATTATATTATTCATTCATTATTACATCTCCTAGTGGCTTCATTGATTAATGTAGTTTGAGCTTAAGCGTCACTGTCTTTCCCTGTGAAATCGGGGATACCGACCTCCTCCCTGCCAGGGTGGACAGTGCTCAGGGATCCCCAGTGGAGGATTCCCCCAGGCTTTCTGGAAACAATCCCTGGAAGACTGCTGGGAGGCAGGGGAGGGCCGTGGCTGGCTCCCACCCTGCCCGCCATCACTGGGTGAGCTTCGGGAAGCCTTTCCATCTTCAGGGTGTCAGTCTCCCCTACTACAAAATGACTACCCACTGTGTTAGGAGAGCCCCAGTTGCTGAGCTGTGACTTCTCTGAATGCCCCCAAACTAAGTCCCCTCTCCCCACTGCCCTCCCCCTCACAGCCCCAGCAGCTGCCCTGGGACTCAGCGTCCATCCAGCTTTTCTGCTGAAGACATCAGCTGAAGAGTTGTTTTTACTACTTAAGGAAAAAAACACATTTAGAAAGCAAAATTCTGAAACCAACCAACTGGATGATGGTGTCTATTCAGGACTAAATGCTCAGGATGGGGAGTGGCTGGTTTCTTTCTGGGTTCGAGGGCCTTTTACAGCTCACATGAGCGCAGAATCCTTGGAGCCTTTGCAAGTGGGGAGTGACTTCATGGGTGCCGAGTGGGGACACATCAGGGCTTAGCCAGGAGGGAGGCCACTGATTAGTGATGTCTGCTAGGGGTGCAAGAAGGCACTCATGGATTGGTAATACCTGCCAGGGCTACAGGAGGGGCTGGGCTGCGGATCTGAGACAAAGCCCCGAGGTCCTTCCTGTCCCACCGTCTCCTCCTGGCACCCTCCTCCCACTGGGGTCCAGTCTTGGAGTCTCTTCTTGAGACCACATGCACTGACGCCCACCATGGGATGCCAGGCTGAGCAGAGTAGGGTGTTGCCCCTGACCTGTCCTGGCCTTACAGATGGGGTCACACACTGGAGCCTGACGGGTTCCCGGGATGGGGACAAGGACACCTTCCTGAGCTTCAGTGACGGGGTGTCTCAGGCAGGTACTGCCTGCCCCACCCCTGCTGCCTGCTTTGGGTGCTGGGTTTTGGGTCCTGGCGTTGAAAGGACCCCAGCCGCCTCTTCCATTGCAGTGGTCTCAGCTGAGGTGGAAATGACGGCCTACGCCCTGCTGACCTACACCCTCCTGGGCGATATGGCCACCGCCCTGCCCGTGGTGAAGTGGCTGTCGCAGCAGCGGAACGCGCTAGGGGGCTTCTCCTCCACTCAGGCGAGCTGGGCAGAGCCAGAGGGAGGGGCTCGGGTCTAGGCAGGGTCACTATGGTCTAGGCTCAGGGCTCAGAGCTGGCCAGGAAGCACTGGTGCTTCGAGTCCCACAAAGGCTCCTTGCCTGCAGTTCCTGGAAACATGGAGTCCAAGAGAAGGCCCAAGGAACATATGTACTGGGATCTGCGACAGGGACCCAGCCCCTGCCTCCTTGGAGATGCCCACCCTCTGTCTGGGGCCCTAGCTCCATGGGGCCTCCACCAGATCCTCTCTCCATTCTAGCCTCGTGGGTACCTGGCCTCCAGAGAGGGTCCATGATGCCCCTGATTTGGGCCAGACTTCCCAGGATGGGGGCAGAGGAACTGCTGGCTGACCCAATCCTGGGGCTGAGGGCAGCCTCTCCTTCTGTCCCCAGGACACCTGCGTGGCTCTGCAGGCCTTGGCAGAGTATGCCATCTTGTCCTACGCTGGCGGTGTCAACCTCACCGTCTCCCTGGCCTCCACCAACCTGGACTACCAGGAGACTTTCGAGCTGCACAGGGCCAACCAGAAGGTTCTGCAGACAGCGGTGGTACGGTTCCCAGGGCTGGGGGTGGGGGCAGCTGCCTGCCCGCTCATGTGTGTCTGTGGGGGAACCACAGCGTCTTCTCTCCCCAGATCCCCAGCCTCCCCACAGGGCTGTTTGTGAGTGCCAAGGGTGAAGGCTGCTGCCTGATGCAGGTGAGGCTGCAGGGAGAGCAGACACTGGCATTTGGAACACGGGAACCCAAGAAGGCAGGCAGAGGCTCCAAGCTCGGTGTTGGGTCAGGCTGTGTGGGGTGGATGTGGGTGCCCTGGGAGACCCCAGGGCAGACTGTCAGCCCCTTGTGTGTAGCCCACCTTGCCCAAGGCAGGTGACCACGTGTCCCCTTGGGTGTGGGGTTCCCTCAGGAAGATCTATTTGACTGGCCTCAGCCTGCTCTCCCATATCCCCCTCCATCACCAGGTCCTGAGCTCTGGGCTGAGGCAGGTTGGCCTCACGGGCTCTGGCTGGTGGTGAAGGGCAAGTCTGCCTGGAGACCCTCAGCGTTCCCATCTCTAAAATGGAAGCCCAGACAACACAATGGGTAGACAGACCTGGTCTTGAGACACGTAAAATTGGGTGATGGTCAAATCTATACCCACTTGGGCTGTTTCAAGGCTAAATGGAATAACACCAGTTCCCCAAACTCTCACCAATGTCACTGTCCTCATCAATCATTCTGGCTGTTCCCCACATTCTCGTGCCCTGCCTCTTCCTCCTCCACCCAGAGGGCTCCTAAGCCTCATTCTCCCATACCCCCCCCCAGATTGACGTCACCTACAACGTGCCGGACCCAGTGGCCAAGCCAGCCTTCCAGCTGCTCGTGAGCCTCCAGGAGCCTGAGGCTGAGCAGCCTCAGCCCCCGGCCCCGGCCTCCTCAGCTGATGACGATGACCCTGCAGCCGACCAGCACCGCCAAGAGTACCAGGTGACCCTGGAAGTGTGCACCCGGTAAGGCCATCTGCCCTGTGCTTGGGCACCTGTCCCGACCTTCACCCGCAGCCCGTGTTCAAGGCCTGTCTCTCCTCTCATTGGAAGGTGGCTGCATGCAGGGTCCTCCAACATGGCTGTCCTGGAGGTGCCACTGCTGTCGGGCTTCCAGGTGGATGTGGAGAGCCTGGAACAGGTGAGGAGGCGCTGACAGTCAGGGGCCAGCTGGGGTCTCTGGCTAGTGGTCCTGTACAGATTGTAAATTCCCAGCCCTTCATAAAATGGAGTGGTTGTTGTTGTTTTTTTTTCCTTTCTGGGCAAAGTTGGTGCTTTTGAGCTGGCTACCTGCTAGGGGGCTGGTGGGGAGACTCCAGATGGGTGAGTGTCCCACTGGGCCACTTGACTAGATCCATGCCGTGGAGGACGTCAGCAGACTTGCTTCAAGACAGACTTGTCCCATGTCCCCTTTTGTGAGGGGCTGGTGCACAAAGTGGGGGGGCTGTCTTGCCTGGGCCTGAGGAGATCTACAGTGTGGGGAGGGTGGAGCAGGAAAGCTGGATTTGTCCTGGGGGTGGTGGTGACGGGGAGCTGGGCACGGCATCAGGGGAAGGAGGAGACCAGCAGAGAGGCTCTGGGGCAAGAGGCAGGTTTTGTGTCAAAAACTGAAAAGAAGTCCCATGCTGAGAGGGTGGTGGTTGCATGGTGCAGGTGAGGCAGATACAGATGACAGGGCTCAGCTGGGCCCCTGGGGGACCACAGGGAGGCCTGGCCTGTGGTTGGGGCTGGCTAGGAGGAGGCTGCGGGGGGAGGGGGAGGTAGGTGCTTAGAACATAGGTAACCAGCCTTGGGTTCCTTCTCCGGGGTGAACACTGACTGCCATCCCCTGGACTCAGCCCATGAGGTCTTGTTGATGACAGTGGGCAAACCCCCCTGGGGCCTCAACTTCCTCTGGCCTACCTTCCACTGACCAGTGTGGGCACCGCAGAGATTGGGAAGGAAGCAAGTATTGGGGGCAGAGGGGTCAGGCCGACCCTGACCTCTGGCTTCCTTGCCAGCTGCTCCTTGACCAGCAAGTGGCGCTGAAGAGGTACGAGGTGGCTGGACGCAGAGTGCTCTTCTACTTTGATGAGGTACTGGCTGCTGGGAGCAGTGGCAGAGGTCTCCTTGGCACTCACATTGGTGAGGGCACAGCGGTCATGGCCCAGTGCGGTTCCTCCAACTATCTCATACCATGAAAAAGAAACTAGGAGACTAAATCCAAGCAGAGTAAATCCCCGGTGGGCCCCCAGCCAGTTTGGTTTTGGTAGAAAATGTTGGGATGGGGGGTGGAATAGTATTCAGGCATAAAAAGGAGTGAAGCGCTGAGACAAGCTCAACGGGGATGAACCCCGAATACGTCATGATAAGTGGAAGAGGCCAGACGCAGAAAACCACAGAGTGTGTGATCCCATTAATATGAACTGTCCAGAATAGGTAAATCCATAAGGACAGAAAGCAGATTGGTGGTTGCCAGGGGCTGGGGGGTGGGGGTGGGGAGTGACTGCTAATGGGGACAGGGTCTCCTTTGGGGTGATAGAAATGTTCTGGAACTAGATAGAGGTGACGGTTACACAACATTGTGAATGTACTAAATGTCACATACACAGTGAAGGAGGGCCCCTGCTGTAGTCATGGGGGTGTTGAATAGTCAACTGAAACCTTTTCCCAGGTAGGAAGGAAGGACCCACGGAACTGAAAATGGGACCAGGTTTCTGTGTTTCACACCTCCTGAGTACCCTGAAATAAGCCAGTTCCGGACCCACACTTTGGGGTGCCACAGAAATGGAGGCGGGAGCTCAGGCCCTGGGCTTTGTGGCCCCAGCCGAGCCTGAGCCGCTTGCTGCCCCGCAGATCCCCAGCCAGTGCCTGACATGCGTGCGGTTCCGGGCGCTCCGCAAGCATGTGGTGGGGAGGACATCCGCTCTGCCCGTCTCCGTGTATGACTACTACGAGCCTGGTACGCCCGCGCCGCCTTCCCGCACCCTATCTGGGCTCCTCACCTTGTCATCCCATCACATGGTCACCAGTCTCCCTCCTCTCACAGCCTTTGAGGCCACGCGCTTTTACAACGTCAGCGCGCGGAGCCCGCTCGCGCAGGAGCTGTGCGTGGGTCCCGCGTGCAACGAGGTGGAACGCTCCGCCGCACAGGGCCCCGGTGAGTGCCGGGGGCCACTGCGCCACCCCGCCGCCCCACCCCACCCGCGGGCGTTGGTGGCAGGGGAACGGGGGTTGGCCATCCGCTTGGAGCTGAGATTTGAGCCGGGAAAGGGGCAGAGAAGGGGACAGAGTGGTAAGGCAGGAGGACCTGGCCTCACTGGTCGGGTCAAGGGTGCGAGTTCTGTATGGAGGGTCGGAACCGAGCAGGGTGGGTGTGGGCGGAGTAGAAGAGGCTCAGAGGAGAACCCTTGCCTCTCACCTCTCCCCCAATCCTGAGGGTGTGAGGACAGCAGGGCAGTCCCCCTGAGCGCAGAGAGTGGCCGCCGTGAAGGGCTGAGCGGGGCTGCGGGGGTCCCCCCCGCCCCCCACCGCCGGCCCTTAATTTTCCAAACTTCTGAAATGAGCTTAGATTGCTTTGAAATTTACACTTAAATTTTTTAAAAAATTTTGTTTTAGTAAGTACTATACAAATACTTAAAGAGATTACACTAGGTCAAGCAAGACTCAGGGCCTCCTAGTAACGGTCGCGCGCTAGTCCTTACACTGGGGTGGGGGGGTGGTCCCGAGCCCCCAGGGACTGTCCCGGACCAGGACCGCGGGATACGCAGGCCGGGATGGGGGGTGGGGGATGGGGTCCTCTGGGCCCTGTCGACTGCGCCTCGCCCCCCAGGCTGGTCCCCTGGCGAGCGGGGCTCCGCGGCCGCCGCAGAGGAGGGGGCGACAATCACGCGCTGCGGCTGCTCCCGTGGCTGTGGCGCCCGAGAGGACCCGGTGTGTGGCTCTGACGGCGTTGTCTACGCCAACGCCTGCCGCCTGCAGGAGGCCTCCTGCCGTGGGCGCGAGAGGCTGGAGCCCGCGCCCCCTGGCCGCTGCGCCCTCGGTGAGGACCCACCCACGCCTAACCTCGGAGATCCCACCTCGCCCCGGAGTGCCTCACCCCAGCTTCTCCATCACATATCCTCCTTCCCATCACCCGTCCTTCTCCATCACCTCCTCTACCCTGTCCAGCATCACTCTCTCCTGTTCCCTGACCTCCCCTCGCCCTCCCTTCCCTTTTCCCTTCTGGTCACTGCCGGGCTGAGCAGTCCCTGCTTCCGCGCCTGGTGACTAGGGCCTCTCTTCCCCACCCCTCTGTCCCCTCCTGCCCCCACTTACAACTCTCCTCCGGCTTTTTTCCTCTCCCTACCGCGCCCCTCCCAACTCTGTTTCTCGCTTCCCCTCCCACAGAAGGGGTTTGTGTCTCTCCTTCCCCTGCTTAGCGGGGCTCCCTCTATCTGTCCACCTCCCCTCAACTTTCTCTCTTATTTGTGGCCCCCACTCTCTCCCCCGCTCTCCATCTTTGTTCCTTTGGCTTCCTGTCCTTCCATCTCCGTTTCTTGCTGTCTGGGTCTCTGCATCTCCTTCTCAGTCTTGCTAAGTCTCTCCCCCCACCTCCTAATTTTGTGCCTTTCTGCATCTCCCCTCTCTGATCTCTGTGTTCCCTCCCCCCCCGCCCCCCCACATGTGACCGCTCACCCCCTGTCTGTTGCCCCGGGCCATACATCTCCCCTTGGTCCTTTTGGGCTGTCTGCCTCCCCCTCTAGCACCCTTGACCTACTAAGTACCCCTTCTTTCCAGAGCAGCCGACTCCAGTCTCTGCTTACAACTACAACTATGACCCAGTCCCCCTGGACTCTGGGCACCTGGCAGCTGGCCATGAGGCCATGGACTTGGAGGGGGAAACAGAAGACAGGTGAGAACTGGGCCCATCCCCAAACTCCCCCACTTGCCCTGGACGGGGCAGGGAATCGGAGTGAGAATGGGAGGGTCAGCCTGCAGGTTTTCCAGGAGGAGGTGGGGGACCCAGTCTCCCCTACCCAAGTCCACCCAACGCACATCAGAGAACAGCCTGTATGCACAGGGTGAGGCTGAGTGAGCCCTCGGAGGACAGAGCCTGAGGCCTGACAGTGCAGCCAGCCCCAAGAACCTGACACACCCCTGAGCTGATAAATCAACCTGCTGCTTAAACCTCCTGAGTTGAATTTACTGTAACTTACACCCAAAAGATTGACCTCCTCCAGAAAGTCTGCCCAGAAGCTCCCTCCCAGCCTCACCCCACAGGGCTCTCTGTTGACCCCCTTCTGAGGCTCAACCCCCAAGACACACCCCTCCCTGAGACCTAGTAGGCATAGGATCACTGTTAAAGAGAAAATTATTCATGATGCAAGGAAGACTTTATTGGGGGAGGGTGGAACTATCAAGATAGATAGAGGGAGTCTGGCAATGGGGAGAGAGATTGGATCCAACTACGAATACAAGAAGAAGTGGGGATTTGTAGCCAAGGAGTGGGATGGGGGTCAGTGGAGGAAAAATTACTAAGAGGAAACATCAGGGGTAAGGGGGACTCTACCTAACCAACTTAACAGGATTCTTGCTGAAGGCAGGCCTGGTAATTGATCAGATGTCCCCTGGGGGATGGAGGGGGAACAGGATCCCCATTAGATATGAGAGTGATCAGATACGGAGGGTGGGGATTCTGGCTAAACTGACTTAGCAGGATTTGTGCTACAATTGGACTGTGCCGAGATGAACACAGAAGTCCAAAGATGGAGACCCATCGTAGTTGAAAAAGAGCCCGGAGGAGCCTGCATAGAGTTTGGTCAGGGAGAGAATCTCTGTTATCCCAAAGGAAGTGGTCAGACCGAGAGCCCTGTGGGGTGAGGCTGGGAGGGGGCTTCTAGGCAGACTTTCTGGAGGAGGCCAATCTTTTGGGTGTAAGTTACAGTAAATTCAACTCAGGAGGTTTAAGCAGCAGGTTGATTTCTCAGCTCAGGTATGTGTCAGGTCCTTGGGGCTGGTTGCACCGTCAGGCCTCAGGCTTTGTCCTCTAAATCCTGCCTTGACGAGGGTCTTATCAACCCAGTGGCGAAGGCTGGTTCTCATGCCTATTCAGCAAACCCAGTAGGAATGCTTTTTCATCAGCACCCACCAAAGTCCCAGCGCTCCAGGGGTGCGCCATCTTGCACCGGGCACTGGATTTAGTCCACGTGCACTTAATATAATTATCAATAGGGCTGGGTTTGGGGCTACTGTTGCAACATTTTAATTTTGTCCCCTGTTCTTCCCTTCACATTCTCTTTTGAATTAATTGACATTTTTTAGAATTCCATTTTAGTTCAGCTAGTGTCATTCTAGCCTTGTTTTTTTAGTGGTAGCTTTGGGGATCACAATATATACAAATATACATCCTTAAACTTTCCAGTTTACTTGGTGTGAATATTGTACCACTTTGCAAAAAATGTATCACCTTTGAAGCCGTATGTCGCCATTTGTTTTGTCCTCACCCATCCCTCATGCCATAGCTGACATATGTACAGCTTAAACTCCCACGTGTTGACACTCCCTCCAGCTCTCGCCAGTGCCTTTCTAGGGGTCTGCTTTTGTTTTCGCTTTGGAGGGGGGATTTTTATTAAACTTTTAAATTTGAGATCACCATAGGTTCACATGCAGTTTAACAGAGACCGCAGCCCCCCCAGTGGTAACATCTTGAGAACTAGAGTACAGTGTGACACGAGGAAATTGACACCGATATGGTCCACCCAGCTTATGCCTATGTTACCACTTTCACATGTGCTCATTCCAATTGAGGCTGCAGTTTTTCCTCAGGTGTAGATTTGTGTAATCACCACCCCAGTCAAGACACAGAACAGCCTGTCACTTCAAGGATCTCTGTCACTGTTTTATATCCACCTCCTCGAGCCCCCCACTTCCCCTCCACAACTGCTCATTTGTTCTTCCTTTGTCATTTTGTCATTTCAGGAATGTTAGGTAGAGTCTGTAACTTTTTGAGATTGGCCTACTCAGCAGAGTTCCTCTTCAATACATAGTGTTGTTTCATGTATCGACAGTTCCTCCCTTTTCACAGCTGAGTTGAGGTCCCCAGATAGTTTTTCAATTTGGTTGGTGGTCCCACACCAGCTGCTAAGCTCTTCATGGAAGTGAATGCCCTGTCCCATCAATGTGGCCGAGTGGGGGTGGGCAGGGGCCTGAGGGGCCGGGCTCCCTAGCCGAGGTTCTGCTGTCTCAATGGGCCAAGGAAGCTGGACTGAGCCCGTGGAGGCAGGGTCAAGGAAGAGCACGCAGCCCAGGCACCCAAACCTAGCAGCTCACAGCGTCTTTCTCCTTCTCTTCCCATCAGTCAGAGTGGCTTCTCTTCCTAACGCTCAGAGCAAGACTTGATTTGGCTGCATACTGTCCCTGTCCATTCCGCTGGAAGGGGGCCAGTAATGGAAGAACTTCCTGGACTGCCTGGTGGGCTCATGGACCCTGCCCCAAGTGACTCCCACCGCCAAGTGAACCCTATAAACAGAACTGCAGAGACCTGACCTGCCCCAGTGGATGATGGGCCTCTTGGGGACCCAGACCCCACCTCCACAGGGGGAAGGCTTTTGTGGGGGTGGCTGGAGGCTCTTCACCCCCCCCCCCAAACTCCCCAGCTGCAGCTGGAGCTCCAGGCACCCCACCCTTCATCCCAGGACTGGACGTACCCCCATTGCAGGCCAGAGCAGCTCCCTCAGCTGGACTTTTTACTCCTGGGAGAAGGGACGTTTCTGGGAAGAACTCCTGGCCAAATGGTTGTTTCTGAGGGGACATGACTGGCCAAATCAAGGACATAGCATTCATCCCCTCATCAGCAGCTTTGAAATGAAACAAGCTGCCTTTCTCCGAAATGCAAAGCCCCGGCCTCCCCTTTGGGGGCATCCAGACTGCTGACTCTGAATTGTAGCAGTCTGTGCCCCCCCCTCGCCCCCCGCGCACCCCAGTCTTGTCCCAGAGGTGCCTGAATGTTAGGTCTTGGGCAGATGAACCTGGATCTTCCTGCCGTCTGGGCTCTCCCCATGAGTCCCTGCCCACCTGGCTCCCCACCTGGAGGACCGCCTCCTCCTCAGCCTTGGGGTGGGCCGGTTGCCCCAGCTCCATGGTCCACTGAAGCTTCATACTCAGACCTGCCTTCCTGCCAGGATCCTCTTCAGCTGTGGCCTGAGTCCTGTTTTGTATTCCCTCAGGCGTCCGCCTGTCTTCCCCTCACCCCCACCCACTTGTATTTATTTCAGACCTCCACAGGGGGCAGCATAGAGACCCGTCTATACCGGAGGTGGCTACCCCAATCCATGGGGTCCCTGTCGTGAACCTGGGCCATTTCCTGTGCTCCTGACCCTTTCAAGTCTACGAGAGTTCACTGGCTGAGGCTGCATTCCTCAATCCCTAGAGGCTGCCGGTGTAATAAAAGCTCATTCCCACAGAGTCACTGATGGGCTTCAGCCTTGGGCGGGGCGGGGTGGGGGGGGCAGCCCCAAAAGCTGGAGTCCCAGCTCCCATCTGGCCCCTAGGCATCTATTCCTCCAGCTATAGCCTAGCCTTTCAGAGTAGGGTGGGAAGGGGGGTGTCGCACACCTGCACCTCAAGATGATCAGATTCCCATACATTTGTAAGGAATTCCACCAATGATAAGAGGTCCCGGTATCCCTACGCAGACTCCCCCAGTGGTAACATCTTGGAAAACTCTAGTATGCCATCACGCCAGGCTACTGCTGTCAGTACACTTTGCTGATCTCACACGTGTGTGTGTGTGTGTGTGTGTGTGTGTGTGTGTGTCCTGGAGCTGCCTGCTCACCAGCGCATTCCTCCCCAGACCAGAGACATAGGCCCAATGGGGAGTCCAGGAATGGCCCCCAACCCCTTCTGTCTTTGGGGGCTTGCTGACCTCTACAGTTGATGCCCCAGTGGCTCCTGACACCTGATGCCACTCTCTGGAGTGGAGGGGGAGAGTGGCAGGTGCCTTTACCCACGTGGTGTCCCCTTCCCACTCAGTTCAGAACAGGCTGTAAACAGGGGTGGGGGTCACAGGGCCAAAGCTGCACCCTGCTCCCCACCCATATTGTTTCCCCTCTATTCCCCTCCCACCTGGTCCTAATGGAGGGGAACTAACATTAAATGAGAATAATCAGATGTCAGGTGAAGGGGAAGAGGCGACATCTTGCAGCCAGGGGACAGCAGGCGACTGAGCCCTGTGGCTCCCAGTGATGGGCTGCACAAGGCTTTGGGGAGCAGAGTGGGGGTCTTCACAGTGGTTGCTCAGGAGACGCCCTGTACCTTGAAGCCTCTCCTGGAGCCAGAACCTGGGCTTCTGAGAACAAAGACCACCAGTTAGGCTCCCAGCCTCCTAAGCTACCAATGGTGGGGGGGGGGCCTGAGCCTCCTGGGCAGGGACCTTCAGCTGGTCCAGGGTAGCACAAGCCTCATCTCATCCCCACCTTGGACACAAAGAGAGCTGGCTGAGCCCGGGAATCTGCATTTACCCCCTGTCTTGGCTTCCTGGGTCGCTGTATTGCTATAACCAAGTACCACAAGCCAGGTGACTTACAACAGAAATTTATTGTCTCAGTTCTGGAGGCTGGAAGTCTGAGATCAGGGTGTGGGCAGGGTTGGCTCCTGGAGAGCCTTAGGGACAGTCCCTCTGAGGGTGCTCTCCTGGTTTCTGGTGGCTGCCTACAACCCTTGGTGTTCTTGGCTTGTGGCCCAATCACCCTGATCTCTGCCTCCATGGTCACGACCTTCTTTGTGTGTATGTTGGTGTCTTATTATAAGGACATCAGTCATAAGGGATTCACCCTACCCCAATATGACCTCATCTTAATTACACCTGCAAAGACCCTATTTCTGAACAAGCTCATTAGAGGTTCCTGGTGGACATGAATTTTGGGGGACCCTATTCAACCCAGCACAACCCCTCTCTGTTTCCCTGCCTCCTGAGGGGCTGTCACAAGCGATGAGGACCAGGTACCTGTCCCCGGGCTGCCCCCCTCCTTGGAGGTCGTGGTGGCTCCCGGCACCCAGCAGAGCAGCCCCTCCCTCACCTTGTCCCTAAACTCAGCCGATACATAGTAGTAGATGAAGGGGTCCACGCAGCTGTTGAGGGTGCTGAGTGCCAGGCTGGGTACATAGGCAGCATACAGGTTCCCCCAGGCATCTGGGCGTGGGTCTGAGTAGTGCAGCAGCAACAGCACGTTGCTGGGCACGAAGAAAGCCATGGCGGAGGCGAGCACCAGCGAGGTCAGCCTGAGTGCATGGCTGTAGCGCCGGCCACCAGCCGCCAGCGCATGCACAGTGGCCCCGCAGCAGAACAGCATGGTCAGCAGGGGCACGAGGCAGCCGAGCACGGCCAGGCAGATGAAGGCAGGTCGCCAGTAGGAGGCCTGGGTGCCCACGGGCAGCGCATCGTGGCAGGTCACGTGGTCTGAGTGCGACAGCCGGAAGGTTTGCTGCTGCAGCCCCAGGGGCAGCACCAGGGTGACTGCCACCAGCCAGGCTGCAGCGCAGAATCCAGTGGCCAGGCGCTGGCCTCGCAGGGCGCGAGCCCGCAGTGGGTGCACCACAGCCAGGTAGCGGTCCAGGCTGATGGCCGCCAGCAGCAGCACGGAGCAGTACATGTGGCCATAGAGCGCGGCCATGTCCAGGCGGCAGGCGACCTCTCCAAAGGGCCAGCGCTGGCCTCGCAGGTGGTAGGCGATGCGGGGCGGCAGGGCCAGGGCTAGTAGAAGGTCAGCGGCCGCCAGGTTCATGAGCAGCACCGTAGACGGCAGCCGAGGCACCCGTGTGGCCATGACCCACAGTGCCAGGCTGTTGGCGGGCAGCCCCACTACCAGGACCAGCACATAGAGTGTGGGCACCAGCCTTGTGGGCACCCAGCCCAGCAGCAGTGCCCTAGAGTTGTCCAAGAGCTCCAGAGTGTCACTGTTGTTGGTGCAGGGCCAGCCAGGGAAGCTGCGTGGGCCAGGTGGGCAAGGGGTCCCAGTTCCCAGCGTGCCATCTGGGTGAGGGAAGGGGGATGGAGGCACTGAGAACACAGGTATCACCCCCTCCCCTTCCTGCCCTTCAGCCAATACCTCCAGCTAGATGGTGTCCCTCCCCCGCCGCCCCTCACCACCGCTGCCTCCAGGGGCTGCAGTCCAGGCCCCAGCTCAGGAACCTCCAGGCTGGTGGGCGAGAGCTTGACATAGCCCCTTGGCCTCAGGACTGGGCTGGTGGGACCCCAGTCCTCTGTGTCCTGCCCATCTCTGATGCCCACCCCCACCGTCCGGAGGTAGTGCCTGGGGTCACTCACCATCTCCGTCTGCTGCACTCCCGCTCTCGTCGTAGATGCTGGGGGTCTGCGTGCCACCCTCCAGGCTGAACCCCAGTGCCAGGGACCACAGCAGCAAGAGCATCCACATTTTGTTGGAGCTGGGTGTCGGCTGCTCTAGGCCGTAGCCGACTGACTTCGTATTTCCTGTCTGCTGGACCCCCCACCCGCAGCTTCCTGAGCACAGGCAGAGGGCAGAGAGGGCCAGCAGACAGGGCCTGGTGAGATAAACCGGCTCCTGCCCCCAACCAGCCTGTGGGAGGCCCACAGATGACCTAAGGTGGACTGGTGGCTAGGACCACTTTGTTAGAGGTACCTCATGGGGTCCAAGTGTTGGGCCAGTAAGATGGGCGAGGAAGTCCTAGGCTATAGCACACCCACCAGCCCCTGTCCAGCTCAGGAAGCCTAAGTGGTCACTTCCTGTTAGCCAGTCACAGCTCCCGTTCTCATGACAGCCCAGCCTTCCAGGTCACATCCCCCGTCAGGGGCTCTTGGCCTTTCCTGAAGCCTCCCCCATCTCCTGTCTCTGGCGGGCAAAAGGAGAGCCCTCCCTTCCAGGTCAGAGGTCAGAGCAGGTAACCCACCCCCCACACCCTTATACACACACCCAAGCACCCCAGGCTCTCTGTGGGAGCTGCCCCACCTTCTCGAAGCCTCACCCATGCGCCAGCATGGCCCCCATGGGCAGGTGTAAAGTGAAGGCCAGAGAGGGGAAGGCATCTTGTGAGTCTGGGGTCTGGTGGGGATGTCTGCGGAGGTGCCACTCCTTAGCCAGAGCTCTGACGCTGGCCATGTACTGCCCTGGTGGTCTGACGGGATCCTGGCTGCAGCATACCCTGGGAGATGTCCATCCGGCTGGTTCTCAAAGTTCCTTCTGTTCCTCTCCTGGCCCCACCTCAGCTCGGGGTCAGAGGTATGACTGGGAGGGAGGTCACGGCCACATCTGAGCCCAAGGGAGGCGGCCAGGCCAGCACAGGCCAGAGGGTCCTCTGAACCACCCTCCTGGGGAGCCCTCCTTCCTCTGGCCCCTCCACATTCCTGCACTCAGATGGGGGCCCGCTGTGCAGATGAAGAGACTGAGGCTCAGAGGGGAGGGTACACTTCTCTCCTGCACTCAGTCCTCCCCCACCCCCCATGCCCCTCCAGGCCCCGAGACAGGCCTCTACTGTCCTGCCCTGGGGCACCCCCACACTGGAGATTCTCGACCCTGTGCTGTCATTCTTGGGCCATGGTGGCAGGGGGATGTCTGGGAGCAGGAGGGCCCCAAGGGGCTGGTGGGGGTCAAGGAAGAAAAACTGAACTAGGGGTGGGAGAGGAGATCAGATGTGGTCTAACAACAAGCCCTAATCTAGTCGCACACTGTGGGCCCAGAGGAAGTGACTGAGCAGTCTGAGATGCTGAGGTCCCTGCCCCCAGCTCCAGGGTGGGGGGCGGGGACCAAGGCCTAGAACACTCCCGCTGAGGCAGGGGTCTCAGCCAGGAGGCTGTCCCTCATTTCTGAGCGGTTTCCACTGGTACCAGTAACAAATTCAGCCCCTTGCCTATGTTTCTGGGCAACACATGACTGATAATACCCTCAGTGCAGGAAAGCTGGGATGGGACCCTCTGCCACCCTCCAGGGAATCCTGTGCAGGGGGAACTGGGGGCTGGAGACGCTGGGCCAGAGCAGACTGGAGCCTCCCAAGGAGGGCAGTTTAACTTAGGAGTTCTGAGTCCAGGAATTTATGACCAGACACGTACAGGACGGCATCTGTACGGGGATATTCCCGGCAGCACAGGGCAGGGGGTGCCCCCCATTCACAGAAACAATCCAGTGCCAGCAGGAGGGGGGGATCCCAGACAAGGCAGGTGGACGTGCAGGCCGCTGTCCTGTCCCAATTGGGAGACAAGCCATGCAGAGGCACCTCCTGGGGGACCCTGGCACAGATGCCTGTGGGGAGAGGGACTTGGGCCCTTACTTTTCTCCGTATGCTTCTTTGTACCATCAAAATGTTCTGTATGTGTGTCCCTTTCCATTAAAGCTTATGTTTAAAAAAGGCAGAATGGTAGCTTTAAAAAGAAAGGGAATGGGGTAAAAAGTATAACTAGTGCACTGTGTTGTACAGCTGAAACTAATTCTAAAAAATGTGTATTTCATAATAGAAAATAATAAAAAAAAAAGAAAGGGAATTCTGACACATGCTACATGGATGAACCTCGAGGACATTATGCTGAGTGAAAGAAGCCAATCACAAAAAAAACAAATACTGTGTGACAGAAAGTAAGTGATGGGTGCCAGGGGCTGAGGGAAGGGGATGGGGAGTTAGTGTTTAATGGGGACAGAGTTTCAGTTTGGAAAGATGAACAAGTTATGGAGATGGATGGTGTGACGGCAGCACAACAGTGTGAATGTACTTAATGCCACTGAACTGTGCACTTAAAATAGTTAACGTGGTAAATTTTATGTGTATTTTACCATAATTTAAAACTTTTCTTAAATGGTGAAAAAAAAAAAAAGGCAAGCAGGCCTGACTCAGCGGCTAGTCCTGGGTTTCCTTACCCTCCAGCCCCACCAGGAACCCCAGACAGCTACCTCTCCCCTACCTCGTTGTCTTCAGTGGAGGACGGGGGTCTAGGGAGTAGACAATCCCTCAAGCCCTTCCAAAGCAACTCTTCTCAGGTAGCCATCTTTGTGGAAACTGTGTTGTCTTTCTGTTGTATTTTGCAGCCAGAGAGCATCCACACGTGCCTCCATCTCCCCTCGTGCCCACGCTGGGCCTCTGTCTGTGAGGAGGGACGTTAACCCACTGTACTGGCCCAAGAACAGGGGGTTGTGATTCCATCTTGCTGGGTGCCAGGAGTTGAAATCTGGCCTTCCCAATCCCAGATGCCCTGTGCTTCCTCCCTGGGACCCCAAATCTGAGTCTGCTCAAGTGTACCATGGTCTGGAGCTCCCACACTCAGGGCAGGAGGGAGAAGGTGCTAGAGAACCATGGGGAGGGCAGAGTTGGAATTCCTAACTTATGGAATTCCCCAGCTTATGGAGGCCTCACCCCACACCCCAATCCCTGCAGGCTCCTAGGAGGCATGTCCAGCCCTCACCACGGGTCTCTAGGGCAGACTCTAGGTCAGCCTGCTTTTTAGAACAATTAGCCTTATTGTCAGCCAGGACATGAGGTGTTAAAAGTGCTAGCTGTACCTCGCAAATAGCCAGCAAGACAAACACCCCTCTAGTAACAGAGTAAATGCTCATAAGGTCCCACCTGAACCGTTCTCCCACTCGCTCCCAAGCATCACACACCACCCCCTCCACCACGCTGGACAGGAGGGTAGGGCAGCCCGCCTGGTCCTGCAGCTCCCCTCTCCACACCTGAGGGAGGTGAAGGGGGGCACGGGGCACTGAGGAGGGAGGGCTGTCCTTTCACCATGACCTAATCTACTGCTGGGGAAGCAGTGGCTTCCACAGGCCCTTATGATCTGGTGCTTCCCTGGGTGAGGAGTCTGGGCAGTGGGCTGGGCCTCCACTCGGGGACTCACCAGGCTACAGTCTAGGCGTTCCCAAGCCTGGTTCTTATCTGTGGCGATCGTGTCCCCTCCCCAACATGGAGCTGCCATTTTCCAGGCCAGTAGACCTTCCCTTCAGTTACTGTCCAGGAACCTCATCATGGTCACAGGCCACTTGAGGGCAGGGACTAACAGGGGTGTCCATCAAGGCAGGAATCCTGGGGCCATCTGAGAGTTCTGCCCACAATGGGATGGGCTCCAGTCTGCTCTCCTGGGACCAGGAGTCCTTTGTGGGAGCTACAGAAGCCACCATTTGTACCTCAGAACCTCTTCCCAGTGCTTCTGACTGAGGGAGGCTGGCATGTGGGCACAGAGGGGCCCTGAACACCCCCAACATAGGCTCTGGGCAGGAGGAATCTAAGACAGCATGAGCCTCGGTTGCCAAGGTCCCTGCTACTCCTGGCCCTCTGGAGGGGCGTGTGGGCACAACCAAGGGCAGTGCACGTGGTGGTGGTGGGGTCAGACATGGGCGGAGGGGGTCCCTGGGAGGTAGCAATGGCCACCTGGGGAGATCGGGACAACTGCTGGGAGAGGACTGGCCAGGTGGGCAGGGTGGTGCCAACTGAGCTCAGGAACCTGACAGGTGAGGCCTGGCAGTGGGCACTGGGTGAGGCTGAGGGGAAGAGATACAGGGGTGCGGCTGGAGGGGTTGGCCAGTTCTGCTGTGGAAGCCGCACGGGGTACCAACTAAGAGGCCCTGATCAGAGCTGTGGGCTCCCCCTATCTGGAGGTGGGGTGGTTTTGTGGGGCTAGGGGAACAAAGGCCCCTCACCTGCCGGTGGGCCTCAGGACTTTGCATCACACATACAAGGGTGGAGAAAGCTCCGAAGAGCAAACACTATGTCCTGAAGTCAGGTTTTGCACACACAACACTAGAAGGGTAGCATCTCACATTTCTACTGAATATAAAAACTGAATTGGGAATAAATATTCTAGAAAACGCTCCCATATGGGGCTCGGGCATCGTCCCATGGGAAATGTGACTGCCATTGCGCAGGTGCGGTGAGGGTCCCACATGCGGGATTTGGGAACCCTCCAGTGCGCAGGCGCAGACACTCCCTGTGGACCCTACTGACTTACCTGGCCCGAGAAGCCGCTCTGTGATTCACTTGCAGGAAATGACAGATGGAACCTCACAGCTTTGTCAATATTTAATTTTTAACTTTAATGTGCAAATAAATAGAAAAGGAAACTACATTCAAAACAGCTGCAAAGGAAGTCCAAGCCCCAGAACAGAAATTCTTCAAAAATGCGAGAGCTCCCTAGAAGCATGCAGGGTTGGGGCTCGGAGGTCTGGCCCACACCCTACCCCTGTGGGGGCACAGAGGGGCTGCAGGCTCCCCAGGGGGCTGTCAGGTGGGGCTGGTTCAGGAATTCCCATAAGGAGTTCCCTTCTTAAAAATAACAATGAGGACAAAGTGCCTGGATTACACTCAAGAAAACATAGGCAGGGAGACCCTGGCAGGGACGTGTCAGCCTTGGCCCAGGCCTAGAGTCGAAGGCTTCACAAACCTCGAGTTCCACAGGTAACCTCTAGAAACACGTCCCCACTTCTGGGAACCATGGGTATGGCACAGCTCAGCGGCAGGAGGGTGAGGGCTGCGCCAGCAGAGAGGAGGCTGCACAAGATTGTTTGGGGCCAACTTGTCTGTGGGTCCCGCTCAGTCTGATGGTGCCAGAAGCCTGGCCAGGGCTTCTAGCGGTGCAGTTAAGTGTAAGGAGCTGGACCCCAGCTCGAACTGCTTGCTATTGGCACAGAAAGCCTAGGATGCCTCTGTGGGACAGCTGCCTCAGCCCCTCACGCCCATGCCCTCCCCAGGTGGTCACTGCAGAAGCGGCTGTATCATGGTGGATATGAGGAGGGCTCTCCTTCCCCACGCCAAGGGTCTTCGCTGTTGCAGAAGTCACAACCACTGAGAGAGCATCAAGGAATAAATATGTGTGTGCATGTATGTATTTCTAGAATGTCCATCTTAGGTACACGACCCCGCCCCAGGGCCCTCCAAGCGTGGGCCACTCAAGCTTGGCGGTAGCGTTGGGCCGAGCCCTGTCCCCTCACAGACCCAGAGTCCGGCTGCTGGATCAGCACAGGGTTTGGCATCTTTTTTTTCTAGAGCGGGGTCTTCCGGGCCATTCTGTCCGCCCCACGTCCTGACGTAAACGCTGAATCCTAACAGTCTGGCTGAAAGGGATCTTCCCACTTTCAAAGTGATGAGGACCCGAGTGCCGGCTGGGCCAAGCCAATGTCCACACTGCCAGATGTGGATGTCGCTCAACTTGCGAAATGTTTCTGGAAGTTCTTAGAACCCCTCAGGAAGGACATCATGCTTTTAAAGCAGGTCTTCTGGCCTGATGCCTTGGATGCTGGGGGCTCTGGAATGCTGACCCCTCCCAAATGCGTACCCTTGCACTGCCTGTCACTGACTTTTCCAGATGCCCTGTGACAAAATGGCCAGCGCAGCCCTGCCGGGGATTTGGCACTTGTGATGGAAGCGCCCAGCAGGTGTGTGAACACAATCGCTTGTTCCTCGGCCAGTGTGTGGGTCCTCCCGTTGCTGGTGGGGGCTGAGTCCCCAGAGTTCAAGTGCAGGGGGTTCAGGTTCAGCACAGGACAGGCCCAAAGGAAGCTGAGGAGCCAAGAGGGATGGCAGTGTGGGGCTGCAAGCCAACACAACCCGCTTCTCTGGAGCTGGCAGCCTGTAGCAGCAAGGCTGGGGGATGCTCTGCTTCCCTTAGGTGGTTCATGAAAATGCCCCTGATGGGACACCTAGGCTGAGGAAGTGACCGCAGCGAGCTCTGTGTCGTGGTGGCCGCAAGGGCGCATCAGGGAGAGGCCGGACGGCGGCTGTACTGCACACGGTAGCGGGTCACGGGCAGACCGTGCACGTGGGCTGTCTCGCAGAGCGTTTTGCAGGGCACCATGTCCTCATCCTCCTCGCCCATCAGCCAGTCCTGCACCAGGCCGGCTGCCTCCACTGTCACGTTGTCCTCTAGCCAGCGGCCGTGCCACTCCTCAAAGTGCTGGTGGTGACGCAGCAGGACCAAGGGCTGCACCTGCAGGGGGCGGGTGGGGTAGAGAGTCAGGGGCCTAGGCACCCCCAGACAGCCACGGGATGTATCTTGCGGCCCCAGGGATCCCCAGCTGGCTCTGGGCTGTATCTTGCGGGGGGGGGGTCTAGACATCCCCAGCAGGCTGTGGGCTGTATCTTGGGGCCCCAAGCACCTCCAGCCAGCTGTAGGCAGGACACAGGTTCCTAGGATGGCGACGGAAGGGGTACCTGCTTGGCCCTGCAGAGGGTCCCCCGGCGGTACATATAGTCCTCGGAGTTCACGATGAACATCATTTTGTGGGAGCTGAGCTTGAAGCGGCAGTCCACGTTGCAGGCGCTCTCCACCCCCACCAGTCGCTTCCAGGAGCTCTTGGCCTCTCCACGCAGGGCCCGCACCTGCTCACACTGCCACCTGCGGAACTTCTTGAGGTTTCTGGAAGCCAGAGGAGGATTGGCAGAG